AGATTGAAAGTGAGGGGGTGGAAAACCATTTACCATGCTAATGGACACCAAAAGAAAGCTGGGGTGGCAATCCTTATATCAGACAAACTAGATTGTAAAACAAAGACTGTAATAAGAGATGAGGAAGGACACTATATCAAACTTAAAGTGTCTATCCAACAAGAAGATCTAACAGTTGTACAGATTTATTTATTTATTTGAAAGACAGAGAATGAGAGAGAGAGAGCACATGAGAGGGGGGAGAGTCAGAGGGAGAAGCAGACTCCCTGCTCAGCAGGGAGCCCGATGTGGGACTCGATCCCGGGACTCCAGGATCATGACCTGAGCCGAAGGCAGTCGCTTAACCAACTGAGCCACCCAGGCGCCCCGAAGATCTAACAGTTGTAAATATCTATGCCCCGAACATGGGAGCAGCCAATTATATAAGGCAATTAATAACAAAAGCAAAGAAACACATTGACGACAATACAATAATAGTGGGGGACCTTAACACCCCCCTGACTGAAATGGACAGATCATTTAAGCAAAAGATCAACAAGGAAATAAAGACTTTAAATGACACACTGGACCAAATGGACTTCACAGACATATTCAGAACATTCCATCCCAAAGCACCGGAATACACATTCTTCTCTAGTGCCCAAGGAACATTCTCCAGAATTGATCACATCCTAGGTCACAAATCAGGTCTCAACCGGTACCAAAAGATTGGGATCATTCCCTGCATATTTTCAGAGCACAATGCTTTGAAACTAGAACTCAATCACAAGAGGAAAGTCGGAAGGAACTCAAATACATGGAGGCTAAAGAGCATCCTGCTAAAGAATGAATGGGTCAGCCAGGAAATTAAAGAAGAATTCAACAAATTCATGGAAACCAATGAAAATGAAAACACAACCGTCCAAAATCTTTGGGATACAGCAAAGGCAGTCCTGAGAGGAAAGTATATAGCAATACAAGCCTTTCTCAAGAAACAAGAAAGGTCTCAAATACACAACCTAACCCTACACCTAAAGGAGCTGGAGAAAGAACAGCAAATAAAGCCTAAACCCAGCAGGAGAAGAGAAATAATAAAGATCAGAGCAGAAATCAATGAAATAGAAACCAAAAGAACAGTAGAACAGATCAACGAAACTAGGAGCTGGTTCTTTGAAAGAATTAACAAGATTGATAAACCCCTGGCCAGACTGATCAAAAAGAAAAGAGAAATGACCCAAATCAACAAAATCATGAATGAAAGAGGAGAGATCACAACCAACACCAAAGAAATACAAACAATTATAAGAACATAGTATGAGCAACACTATGACAGCAAATTAGATAACCTGGAAGCAATGGGTGCATTCCTAGAGATGTATCAACTACCAAAATTGAACCAGGAAGAAATAGAAAACCTGAACAGACCTAGAACCACTAAGGAAATTGAAGCAGTCATCAAAAATCTCCCAAGAAACAAAAGCCCAGGGCCAGACGGCTTCCCAGGGGAATTCTATCAGACATTTCAAGAAGAATTAATACCTATTCTCCTGAAACTGTTCCAAAAAATAGAAATGGAAGGGAAACTTCCAAACTCATTTTATGAGGCCACCATTACCTTGATCCCAAAACCAGACAAAGACCCCATCAAAAAGGAGAATTACAGAACAATATCCTTGATGAACATGGATGCAAAAATTCTCACCAAAATACTAGCCAATAGGATCCAAAAGTACATTAAAAGGATTATTCACCACGACCAAGTGCGATTTATCCCTGGGCTGCAAGGCTGGTTCAACATCCGCAAATCAATCAACGTGATACAATACATTAACAAAAGAAAGAACAAGAATCATATGATCCTCTCAATAGATGCAGAAAAAGCATCTGACAAAGTACAGCATCCTTTCTTGATCAAAACTCTTCACAGTATAGGGATAGAGGGTACATACCTCAATATCATAAAAGCCATCTACGAAAAACCTACAGCGAATATCATTCTCAATGGGGAAAGGCTGAGAGCTTTTCCCCTAAGGTCAGGAATGCGGCAGGGATGTCCACTCTCACCACTGCTATTCAACATAGTATTAGAAGTTCTAGCCACAGCAATCAGACAACAAAAAGAAATCAAAGGCATCCAAATTGGCAAAGAGGAACTCAAACTCTCACTCTTTGCAGATGATATGATACTGTATGTGGAAAACCCAAAAGACTCCACCCCAAAACTGCTAGAACTCATCCAGGAATTCAGTAAAGTAGCAGGCTATAAAATCAATGCACAGAAATCAGTGGCATTTCTATACACCAACAACAAGACAGAAGAGAGATAAATCAAGGAGTCGATCCCATTTAAAATTGCACCCAAAACCATTAGATACCTAGGAATAAATTTAACCAAAGAGGCAAAGGATCTGTACTCAGAAAACTATAAACCACTCAGGAAAGAAATTGAAGAAAACACAAAGAAATGGAAAAACGTTCCATGCTCATGGATTGGGAGAACCAACATTATGAAGATGTCAATGTTACCTAGAGCAATCTACACATTCAATGCAATCCCCATCAAAATACCATCCACTTTTTTCAAAGAAATGGAACAAATAATCCTAAAATTTGTATGGAACCAGAAGAGACCCCGAATAGCCAGAGGAATCTTGAAAAAGAAAAGCAAAGCTGGCGGCATCACAATTCCAGACTTCCAGCTCTATTACCAAGCTGTCATCATCAAGACAGTATGGTACTGGCACAAAAACAGACACATAGATCAATGGAACAGAATCGAGAGCCCAGAAATGGACCCTCAACTCTATGGTCAACTTATCTTTGACAAAGCAGGAAAGAATGTCCAGTGGAAAAAAGACAGTCTCTTCAACAAATGGTGTTGGGAAAACTGGACAGCCACATGCAGAAGAATGAAACTGGACCATTTCCTTACACCACACACAAAAATAGACTCCAAATGGTTGAAAGACCTAAACGTGAGACAGGAGTCCATCCAAATCCTAAAGGAGAACACAGGTAGCAACCTTTTCGACCTTAGCCGCAGCAACTTCTTCCTAGAAACATCGCCAAAGGCACGGGAAGCCAGGGCAAAAATGAACTATTGGGATTTCATCAAGATAAAAAGCTTTTGCACAGCAAAAGAAACAGTCCACAAAACCAAAAGACAACCGACAGAATGGGCGAAAATATTTGCAAAGGACATATCAGATAAAGGGCTAGTATCTAAAACCTATAAAGAACTTATCAAACTCAACACCCAAAGAACACATAATCCAGTCAAGAAATGGGCAGACGACACGAACAGACATTTTTCCAAAGAAGACATCCAAATGGCCAAGAGACACATGAAAAAGTGCCCAACATCGCTCGGCATCAGGGAAATCCAAATCAAAACCTCAAGGAGATACCACCTCGCACCCCAGTCAGAGTGGGTAAAATTAACAAGTCAGGAAACGACAGATGTTGGCGGGGATGCGGAGAACGGGGAACCCTCCTACACTTTTGGTGGGAATGCAAGCTGGTGCAACCACTCTGGAGAACAGTATGGAGGTTCCTCAAAGGGTTGAAAATAGAGCTACCATACGATCCAGCCATTGCACTACTGGGTATTTACCCCAAAGATACAAATGTAGGGATCCGAAGGGGTACGTGCACCCCAATGTTTAGAGCAGCAATGTCCACAATAGCCAAACTGTGGAAAGAGCCAAGATGTCCATCAGCAGATGAATGGATCAAGAAGATGTGGTGTATATATACACAAGGGAATATTCCGCAGCCATCAAAAGGAATGAGATCTCGCCATTTGCAACGACGTGGATGGAACTGCAGGGCATTATGCTGAGTGACATAAGTCAATCGGAGAAAGACATGTATCATATGACCTCACTGATATGAGGAATTCTTCAACTCGGGAAGCAAACTGAGTGTTGCTGGAGTGGTGGGGGGTGGGAGGGATGGGGTGGCTGGGTGGTAGGCATTGGGGAGCGTATGTACTATGGCGAGCGCTGTCAATTGTGCAAGACCATTGTGTTGAATCACCGATCTATACCTCCGAAACAAATAATGGAACATATCTTAAGAGAAAAAGAAAAAGAAGAAGATAGCAGGAGAGGAAGAATGAAGGGGAGTAAGTCAGAGGGGGAGACGAATCATGAGATATGATGGACTCTGAAAAACAAACTGAGGGTTCTAGAGGGGAGGAGGGTAGGGGGATGGGTTAGCCTGGTGATGGGTATTAAAGAGGGCACATTCTGCATGGAGCAGTGGGTGTTATGAACAAACAACGAATCATGGAACACTACATCAAAAACAAATGATGTAATATATGGTGATTAACATAACAATAAAAAATTAAAAACAAACAAACAAACAAATATCCTTTTTAAAAAAGCTCCTCAAGCTTTGCCGATTTCCACTTTGGCTGGCTCCTACTGCCTTAGTCTCTGCAATTCCAAACCCAAACTTCCCCTATGTTGTTTACATGTCTGCAGACACATGGGGCCATTGGAAACTGAGACAGAGAAGAACAGAGAAATTATAAAAATTATCGAATAGAGACTCAAGAAAACGCAAGCTCTAGTTCTACTACTTCTCTGTCCTTATTCTGTGTATGAATTACTCTATAGTCAATTTACTTTTAAGTAAGCAAGTTTGCACAAACTGTTACCAAGAAATATTAAATAAATCAAATCATCAACAAATTTTAAATACACCTAATTGTGATATGGTACTTAAACGTATTTATTTCCATCTGATCATTTAAATGGCACTTCAGATTCTCTTGGCAAATGGCAGTCGATAATGAGAAAAATTATTTCTTATAAGAGTGTTACACATGTGGTCAGCAGCACCTGAAAACTGGAGAAGAAATGAAGTTGGGTGGAAGCCATTTAAGTTCACACATTTCACCACACACTGCCTCCAAGTCTTCAATACTTATGTACGTATTTATCTATTTCTTGAATCAACCACCACTAACACCCACTACATGTCAGACATGGTTCTACTTGTTTTATTAATGTTAAGTAACATTTAATCTTTACAATGATCTATGAAGTGGGATTATTATCATCCCCATTTCTCACATCAGGAAACTGAGACCCAGAACGGTTTAGGAACACAGCTCATAAGGGGCAGAGCTACGATCAGCTTCGCTCTGGACTCCATGTTTTAAATCACTATGCTTAGTCTCCAGGAACCTACAAAAAGTGCAAGTCTTAACCCCAAACCTTGGCTTTCCCCACCCTCCCGTCCCTAGGTGGCCCTAGCTTCAAGGGGCATTCTCTCAATTCCTTTACCAGTTCACACTCCTTCCCTGCTCTAAGTGAACACCCTCCCACATCCCCGTTTTGTTCTTAGCCTTCTGTTCTCAGGTTAACCCTACTGCCTAAATTACAAACTCCAATGCACCCTGCATTTCTCAGCACTCAAAGCAAAACTGTAATTATGTATTTCATGGGTAATTATCTGCTTCCAGTCTTTTCCAACCAGGTGGTAATATGTCAGACACCGTATCTGTCCTATTTATCGTGTGTTCCCAATCGCTGAATACCCACCACCCACCCAAATGAAAGGGCCTACCACAAAGTACACTCTCAACAATTTCTGTTGAATGAACGAATGACTGAAGTACACTCCAGCCTAGGGCTTTCCGATTCGGGACACCTATCTGTGCTCACAAAGCTGTCCCCACTACAGCCCTAGAATGTAGACTCATGTTGCATACACACAAGAGCTCTGGAAAGTACTGGCTCTGCACACCGGTATTACGTGGCCCTGGGCAGACCAACTACCCCCCAAAACACACGTTGATTGACCTGATTTCAGGTGCACAATGGGGACCCTGACATCCGCAGTGGAATGTAACCTATTCAAGAGGTAGAACCTGAACTCCTCCTCCGCTATCCACACTAGACTTACTTGCTTCTCCTCGGTCTTCCATAAAGACTTTAGCCTCAAGGAGGCCAAGACCCCGTCTGCCTGGTTCAGGCCGGATTCCCAGTCACGCTCTCCCCAGGCCTGGCGCACAGCACAAGTATGATAATTACCGGCTCCATCAATGAAGCCCCGCCCTGTGCACTTCACAGGTGCCAAACGATGGTCGCACGAGGTAACGACTACCTTTTGGCGAACAAGCGTGTTCCGGAGACACAGGCCCGCCTCCCACCCAAGCCCCAGGCCCCGGGGACGCCGGCCCCTGACCCCGCGCCCCGCAGGCACCTCTGCACAGAGAAGCATCTTCCCAAGTGCCGGGCACTCCCTCGTCGTCTGTGTCTGTGGAGGAGGAAGAGCAGGAGCTGAAAGAGGGCGTCCTCAGGCTACTGGCCAAGGCAGTGGAGGTACCGGTGTACTGCGCTCACCAGGAACAGCTAAACGGGGTCCACAGACGCCGGGGGAACAAGCCAGCCTCCGAGAAGGAAGGACGGCTTGGTTCCACCGCGCTCAGCTGGCGCCGCTCAGAGACGTCACCCACGTCAGCTGCCCTAACAACCTTCCCTTCTCATTGGCGCCTCTGCCCAGGCCCTCACTGGAAAATTTCGCAGTCCCCTGGCACCGCGGCGGGGTCCCTGGATTAAAAATGTAGCCCCGCCCACTATACCCGTTAGGCGGCGGGGGCGGGGGGGTGGCTGAAGTAAACTGAAATGGACGCAAAGGCCCGCCGCAATGCATTCGGGGAATTGTAGTCATCGGTGCGCGGGGAGTGCACCGGGTTTCTTCTTGTGGTGAGAATATCTTCCAACTGTCATTCAAGGGGAGGAAGAGCTACAAGATCTTCAGCATTAGGGCGAAGCGCAGAGAATCCAGCTGGAGGAAACAACTGTTAGTGTTAACAGTTACTCGGGGCTCAGTCTCAACCACTGAGCAAATGTTCATGGAGCGCTGACTGGGCCAGGAGCTGTGCTAAGAAAGGGCTTTGCGCACATAATCGCCTTTCAAATGTGGAGGAAGGAATGTGCAGAAAACTGGTACAATGCAAAACTGTGTAGTAGTGAAAGCCAACTAGAGCTGCCAGTTACAAGCATCAATGGCTGAAGTTAAGAAACATTGTGAAAGAAGGGAATAGAACATTTTTATAAAGTTCAAACCAAGCAAAACGAATATTTAGAGAAAGGCCCATATATGATAAAATACTGTACAGTAGAAGAAAGGAATGGAGGGGGGAAACAAGCACCACAGTGACCTTCAGGGAATGGGGAGGGTAACGATTGCAGAGGCACCTGAAGTATTTCTCAAGTTGCGGTGGTTCACACGTGTTTCATTATTATGCATATTTAAGATACTCCTTATATATATATATATATTTTGTACTGCACTTCTTAGAAAACATTTTCTAGAAAAATAAAGACGTGTATTTGTATGTTCCATTTCTCTGCCTGGAGCACTGAATGGATCTACTCAAACGTTAAAAAGCTTGGATCACACACACACACACACACACACACACACACAAGCACAATAACAATAAAAAGCCAGTGTACGTATCTTAGAGCAAGATCAGATATCAAAAGCACACTTAGTATTGTATGGAGGGACAAGAGCTCATTGACAGCCAAAGTAGAAATGACAGTGGGGAAGGTTGAGGTGAGGGAGGCTTGCCCGGGGGAGCGGTGAGATCAAATACAGCACTTTCCTTGAGTGGTCCTCTGCCAAGAGGGTAATGCAAACCACTGAATTAGCACAGTCTCCCAGCTTGACAGTGGACACATCCCATGGGTGTTAGTCAGTAGTAAGTGTCAAGGGCTAGTAGTATAAGGTGTCAATCCCCTAGGTGTGGATTGTGAGGCTGAGGGTAACTGGAAGAAGGTAGAGGCAGATATACTGATCCGCCCCTGTCATTTTCTAAGCGAAGGACACCTCTGTTCTTTGCTGAGCTTTGATTCAGAAGTGACAATCACAATCTGGGAGGGAACTGACAAACCCTGGCCAGCTTGTGTGTTAGCTCATATTCTGTTAGTTCAAATGCAGGTCGCCATCCGTTTCCAAACTAATGTCCCATTCTTGCCAACAAGGTGCGAACGGATGTGAATTGACTGCATCTAGGAGGGAGATGCCATCAGTGTGACCTCCCATCTGGCCTGGATTGGTCTCCAAGGCTCCTCCCTGAGGTCCACAACCACACAACCTGCTGACTGGTGTGCTTGAGTTCCACTGACTGGGTGTGGGTCAGTGCTTGGGGCAGACAGACAGATCCTGGTGGGGAGAGCGCACCCCACACACCATCCTGGCAATGACCCTCTGTGTTGTGGGTGGAAAGGAAGGAGGCCATGACCCCAGGGAGATGTAAAAATGGCTCCCTGGCTGCCTACTGAGTCACTGTGGTTCAGGCAACAGGAGTGGCCTTGCCCGACTCCCGAGCTGCCGCTCCTCTCCCTGTTACCGTGCGTCCTCCGGAGCCCTCGGGGTTTTGAGGCACACATCCATGGCAGACCAGGGCTCAGGAGCTGAAGAGAAACACAGAAGTGGAGGGAGGGCCGTTTGCTGCTCCACTTCTCTCCCAGTACAAAACCCCTCCTCTACATACTTGCTTTCTCTTAGTGTTGTTGCTTCCGGCACGTCCAGGGACTCATCTCGGGATGCAGACACTTGAGGCTCCCACTCCGGCCATGGACAAAATGATCTTCCTGGCAGAAAAAAAAAAAAAAAAACAGAGAAAGATGAGCAGGGTAAAAAGACCTTCCTCCACCCCACAAGTATATCCAGGAACAAACAAATCGAAAATAAAGGAGGAATGGAAGAAAGGAAACTGGATACAAGAGGAGGAAACCTCACCCCCCCCAAATTAATTGACCATAGGTTCACAATTTGACCCAACTTTAAAACCAAGAGTTAGTAAAATAATTAGTACATGTACTAATGTACATTAGTACATAATTATGACAAAAGATAAAAGGAGGCTGATTGGCTTTTTTGCCTCTACAACATAGGTTCTGAATTAACTTTAATGTCTGCTAAGATGCACCAGGTGGCTAACCTTCAGAAACTTAATACGAGGGCTCAAATTATGGTTATACCTAGTAAAATAACCATATTTTCTAGCTCCTGTATTTAATGCTTTAACATCTCAGGCCTTCCTGACTTTGGAGGGACTGTCCCTGTCAGGCTTAGTTAATTCCTAGAGATGGTCAACAGCTTGCCTGGGAGCACACCTTTCACATGTAAACCAACCAATACAGAGCCTTTACCCCCAAGCACCTCCTCTAAGAAGTTCTTACACTCAGGCCACTATCCCCTGCCCTGATCACCTGAGGGACAGGGACAGACTACTCCAGATACCACTATGGCCTGGAGCCCACTGAAATTATTCAAACTAGCCAGTCTTAAGCCTGCTTACCCTGCCTCACCTGTCCCTTCCCATGGAAACCACAAGAAAGGGTCTTGCCCACATTTTCCCTTCACTCCCTCTTTTTCCTGACCAACCCGGGTGCTTCCCTGGGTGGCCCTCCATGGCTCTCAGGACCTCCTTCCTGAGAGTCTACAAAACTTCTTCCATTGTGAGTCTACAAAACTTCCATTGTGACAGTTATTGCTATATCTTCCTGGTCCCCTTCAAACATCTGAGACCCCTAGGGGTGCCTGGGTGGCTCAGTCGGTTAAGCTTTTGGCTCAGATCATGATCTCAGGATCAAGGGTCAAGCCTCCTGTTGGGCTCCTTGTGTGGGGTGCTGTTGGCTTGAGATTCTCTTTCCCTCTGCCCCTTCCTTCCCCCTGCCCCCGCTTGTGCTCTTTTTCTCTCATTACAATAAATAAATAAATAAATAAAACCTTAAATAAAAAAAGCCCAGCCGGAATCCCAACTAATTTAAACATGGTGAATATTTTGCAATTATAGATTTTCCAATATGTTCTGTTTAGTGCCTATTTCAACATCCTCTCAGTCACGTGTGCCTTGACCTTGAAGGGGACACATTTTACCTTGTTATGCACAGGGCACACAAACCGCTCTATGACACGCAATCTTTGCAGATAGGATCTTATTGCACCCAACCTTCTGCAAGAACAAAGGTATGACATCACATTTATGACATCCTACTGTGAGGACATTTGGTTGACACATTTGTTAAGGACATGCAACTACAGGGGGCGACTGGGTGGCTCTGTCCGTTAAGTGTCTGCCTTGGCTCAGGGTGTGATCCCAGGGTCCTGGGATCCAGTCCTACCTCGGATCCCTGCTCAGTGGGAAGCCTGCTTCTCCCTCTCCCTCTGCCCCTACCAGCCCCTTGTGCTCTCACTCTCGTGCTCTCTCTCAATTAGCTAAATAAAATCTTTTAAAAGAAAAAAAGGACATACACGTCCAAAGTCTTTCAGTATTTTTTCGGTTCTGGAGGTGACATATTCCTTGTTTATAAATTTTACATAAGCCCGTTTAGGCTGTTACTGGTCCATGAGCCCAGGTTGGGTGGGGCTCCCCTCTACAAAAGGCTCTAGGATCTGTCCAAGTTAAAATCGCCTTTTGGGGGGCAAATGGGTGGTTCAATTGGTGAAGCGTCTCCCTTTGGCTCAGGTCATGATCTCAGGGTCCTGAGATGAAGTGCAGCGTGGGGCTCCCTGCTCAGTGGAGAGACTGCTTCTCCCTCTGCCTTTGACCCCCTCCTCCAGCTCCAGCTCTCTCTCAAGTACAAAAATAAAATCTTTTTAAAAAATATCACCCATTATTTCCCTAAGTGAAAAGGCTTTATAGCAAGCACCTCTCCAGTTTCCTGGAATCCCTGGAATTGTCCATGGGCTCCCGATGCAAGAAACAGCCCTCCTTGGCCCTAGGTTATAGACCATGAAAGGAGCAATTGTTGGCCATGCACTGGGCTCTCCTGGAAACAGAGTCTCTCACAGACTCTGAGCCTTCATAACCCGCTGTCTGTTACTCCGCGGGTCATGGTACCCCACCAGCTTAATGTAGTTACCAAGACCTTCTTGCTACAGACTGAACCAGTCTGCATATCCAACCTGCAGGTGGGGGCGGCTGCTTGGGTCCACAGTCCTTGTCAGATTCCGCGGCTTGCGGGACGTCAGCCTTACCTTCTGTCCCTTGGCTACTTCAGGATTCCCTTGGGATCAACTGAGTGACCATCAATGGCAGTTGACACATTTTGGTTTTGACGCCATCTCTCCTTCCTGGTCAGGTGCCAGCCACACTTCCTAGAGAAGCCCTTGTCCTAGTCCTTAAAAGTCTCAGCCCCAGGCTGAAAATGATGTGGACATACCAGAGTCCACTGGGATGGAGAGCGTGAGATTAAGATTCCATAGGAAGTGTTGTCTTGGCATCGGGGAACATCAGAGGGCCTCCAGTGGCCTTACTCTCAGTTCCCTTCGCCCTCTGCTCCCACGGATCGGGTCTCCTGGCCAAACAGCCCTCCTTATCCCAGGGACCAGGCACAGTTTCTCCTCAAGTCGTAAGGTCCAGTTCCCTGACAGCCTGTGGAATTATCCAGCAAGCCAGCCATGCCCTCCTGCAGGACGTAGGGCTCACCTTCACTCTCTTGTTACTCCAAGGTCTGACCCCCCACAGCCCTTGTTCTTTCTGCTCCCAGGTGCACCCCCCTGTGGCCCTGCACGGTATGGGCCATAAGTACACGTGGGTTATAA